TCGCTTGAGATGGGCCGCGTGGACCTGGAACGTGAGTGGCTTACACAGCGGAGACGAAACAGGATGTTTCATGTTGAAACGACAAGTGTTCAGCTCAAGAAACTTGAACAAGAAAGGAAGGACAGGCTGGTGAAAAGCCAGTTGGGCAGAAAGAGACTCCCGCTAGGCCTCTGTCTCAGCTTACGAAAGAAAAGGGACATGGCTTCCAGGCATCCATACAACGTCGTTTGGATGTATCAATGAGAGCTCCCTGCAGGAGTTTAGAGCTGGGGGGGGAGAGAACGTTTTCATAGCAAATACAGTTGCTTGAAGACCACGTTTCAGTGGTGGAGATTGTGTGGGGCCACCAAAACCCGGCATCTTCGGGGTGTTTTGAGAGCTTTGTGGAATGACGAGGAAAACATACAAAAAGCGAGGACATCATGACATGGCGGTGTTGTGGAAAAGAGGCCATAGTCTTCTGGGGGACCCTGAAGGGCCAGAGTCAGCCACAGACTTGGCGGGTCTTCCACCACTGCTTTGGAGAAGAAGACCTTCAACAGAGAAGGACTAGTTTAGATGTCCAAAATGCGGGGACCAGCTGAGAGAGAAGTTACAACATAACACAGTGCTTAAGGAAGGTTGTTGAAGTATAGTCAGGACAGGGATTCCCAACCTTGGGTCCCCAGATGTTCTTGGACTGCGACTCCCAGAAATCCTGGCCAACACAGCTCGTTGTGAAGGCTTCTGGGGGTTTTAGTCCCAAGAACATCTGGAGACCCCAGTTTGAGAACCACTGGTCCAGGAGGCCAAGGACTAGCCTTTTCTGGGGCACCTCTTCTGAAGCCATAGAACTTTCCACCTCTGCTGTACCCCTCAAAATGCTTGTGGTGTGGAAGTGACAGCAAAAGGAGAACTTGAAATCGGCATGGGGGAGATCCTTTCGGAGAAGCTGAACTGCCCGTTTAAAGAAATGCCAGGTTTCCAATTCACTTCCAAGGTAATTTGTCAACGCTGTGGAAAATCTGATGGTGGCCGGGAGGCAGTCTCCCTTGCCAAAGCCCAGGGGGGGGAAGCTACAGGAAGCCCACAAGCTGTGCTTGGGGGGGATTATGGGCCTCGTAGTCCCCAGTGCCACTTCTCTGAGGTTGATTTCCGTTCAGCTTTAACGATTTGCAAGGACGTCAGTCACGATGGAAGTGGACAAATCCTGCTGCAACACATGTGTTTTTTTTTTTTAAAAGAGGAACGCTGGATAGTTTCTTTAAAAAAATGAATAAAAACATACACACACACAGAGAGAGAAAGGAACCTCAGCATCATTTGACGAGGCACTAGATGGGAAGAAGGGTGGAATCAAAAGCGGCTTTTGTTTCCAGCTGGCCTTGGCAGACCTCAGAGAGCTATATGGACACAGGAAACTGTTTTCCATTGATGGTTAGTTCATCTAACTCACTCAGCATTGTCTGTTTTGCCTAGCAGCAGTTCTTCAAAGCCGGGAACATGGCACATACATGTTGTGACTCATGCCTCTGTTTCAGCGGCTGCTTGCAGAAATTTGAAGTAGCCCGAGAGCTTTTAGTTTAGTTTAGCTTGGTTCAGTTCAGTTCAGTTTCATGCTGCTTTATTTTACTTGTCTGGATAGCTGAGTGGTTTGGGGTCTCTGGCTGCAGAGCTAGAGTTCGATTCCCCTTTCTGCGCGTAGAGCCAGCCTGGGTAGCCTTGGGCCAGCTGCACCGTCCCAGGGATCCCTCCCCAGAAGAAGGGAAGGGGAAACCACTTCTGAGTCTTCTCTGCCTGGAAAACCTCGGAAAGGGCCGCCATAAGTCAGCATGGCCTTGTTGGTACACTGTGATGACGGTGTTGCATCTTGCTTCCAAAATGGCAGCGGGTTCTCATTCCCAGCCGGTGTTTGGACCGCAAGCCGTTCTGGCGCCCCGCTTTCCCTGCCCTCCAAATACTTTGACCCCCTAATCTTGCCAGAACCGCTGTTGTTACCACGTCGGCTGACACTCTCTCTCTGGGTTATGTAAGAACTTGTAGGAACCCAACTAATGAAGGTCAGCATGCCTCAGGACATGGAGATGCTTAGAACATGCCCAAGCGTGCAAGTATGAACCCACGTGGCTCTCTCTCCCCAGCTGATGGTGACGTTGACTAAGCATCATACAGAACCATTAGCAGGTCTGATTCATCTTCTCGGGAGCTTCCAGACCAGTGTTGTCTGGCTACTGGTTCTCTCCAGGAGAGGTCTGGGTCCTGGCTGGGGAGACAGAGAAACCCCTTTAAGGCCACCTCTTTCCATTGATTTCCGCTTCTCCCTTCTTGAATCTGGCTGGTTTGGAACACCAGACAGGACCGATGGTGGAAGCATCGTAACTGAGTCACATGGGGAATGCGTTCTTCTGTAAAAGGTACGACCAACCCTAGGCTCCTTCTGCTGGAAGATAATTCTGTTTACGTGGGATATTGGTGTCCGGGTGTGTATGATGTCTGGAGGGCTGCGTGTTCCTCATCTTGGTGTCCATGGAATGGTTTTAAGGAAAGAGTAAATCATCAGAGAGGAAAGATGACATTTCCTGACAGCACCTGAATAGGAGAAAACTGCTGGAGAGCTCAGTGGTTTAGGCCTCTGGCTGTGGAACCAGAGGTTTGGAGTTCGATTCCCCCCACTGGGTGGAGTAGAGATCTATAAGGTTCCTTTCTAGCTCTGTATTTCTAAGATTATTATTTGGAGAACTACTGGATAGCTCAGTGGTCTAGATATCTGGCTGCAGAGCCACAGGTTCGGAGTTCGATTCCCCCCCCACTGTGCCTCCTTGACAGGGACTAGACTTGATGATCTATAGGTTCCCTTCTAGCTGTGCCATTCTAAGAGGATGATTATAAGCCTAAAGACAGACATTTGACTGTCCTCTTCCTCACCATGCATGAGACAGCCAAATACCCAAACGTGTGGGTTTTTTGGTGGGAATTCTGGGAATTGTAGTCCAAAACATGCCAACCCGTACAGCTCAAAGAAGAAGCAAGAGGGAACCAAGCTGAGTTTTCAGGGAGGGAGGGAAAGAAAACCTGGCTCTGAGGGAACACGCAGAAAGACAGGCTTGAGGGAAAAACGTTTCGTGTCAGAATACTTCGAAACCCGGAGTCAGGACGTTTTCCAGCCGCCCAACCTCCTTGCTCTGTGGCCCAAAACCTCAAGGTCAAGAGCCGTTCTCCCAGCGGGATTTGGCCCGGTTGTTTGGCTAAAGATGGCCGCCTGGCTTCACCGCACTTCCAGGTGCTGGTTTGAAAGGCCCATTGTTCGGCTCGACCGCAGGAATGACCTCCTGGAGGGCCACGTTTTCTGTTTTCTCTTTCGCTCGGCCTGAGGAGGAGCACGTTTTATCCCTCTCAGCTCTCTCCCCTTCGGAAAGCCTCCTTTGGACTTAAGCCTTGGCTGGGAAAAGTCATTGTTTTCCTGTAGCGTGTGAGGTTGTGTGTGTGTGTGTGTGTGTGTGTGTGTGTGTGTGTGTGTGTGTGTGTGTGTGTGTGTGTGTGTGTGTGTGTGTTTGTAGAGGGGATCATTCTTGGTTTTTTGCTTGAAATAGAGGCTATCTTTTTTAAAAAAAAATCTTGTTGAGTGAGGAGAGGAAAGAGAGAAAAAAATCCTCTATTACACACACACACACACACACACAGAGTCTGCCTATTTTCCTTCAGGGTACCCTGTTAAGAATATAGCTGTTGTTTCCCTGGTTTGCGCCAATGGTCCATCCTGTCCAACGTTCTTCAACAGTGGCTTGGGTTCATGACCTTTAGGCATCTATGGTGGGTTTTCTACTCCGTGGTGACGTTTTTTCAAAGTTGGATGATGTAGCTAGATCTCACAGATGGTGTGGAGCACCCAGAGTTGTGCGATAGATCGAGTTTAACCTTATTATCATGGTGGTTAACATTCAAACAAGATTCCACGGTTGTCCTGTTCAAACAAGATTCGATGCAGTCCTAGGTGGTTTACCTGTTGCGTCTGATGCGGAAGGCTTCCCAGTGGAAGGAGAAACCCAGCCGGATAGCTGGTGGAGACATCATCATTCTGTTTTGCCCCCGTCTTCCTTGCTTGCAATGAGACTGCGGGACAACCTCTTAATCTTGAACTTTTAACCCAGTCGTTCCCAACCGTGGGTCCCCCAGAGGTTCTCGAATGAAACGTCCCAGAAACCTTCACCACAAACTGTGCTAGGATTTCTGGGATTTCATAGTCCAAGAACGTCTGGAGAACCCAAGGCTGGGAATCACTGCTCTGTATGGACACATCTTCTATCTGGATATCAGCCTGGCCTATTTTTTTGATATTAACATCTTATATAGCATTTCTTTCCCCATTCCTGATCTGGCAAGCCCTTTTCATCCACAGTGCCCCTTTCAGGATTCTGGCGCTCTAGAGATTGGTGAACTATGATGCCCATTGTCCTTCATCAATGACCAGGCTGGTTGGGGTTGATGGGATTTGTTGTTTGTTTTAGCGGTAGTGATTTTCCAGCTCTCTGGTTTTAGGGACTTCTCACCAAGCCCTGCACCAGCAAGATTGCTCACCCCCCTCCCCATGAATACAGAACCCTAGTCTTACTCTCTTTTTTTGCCTATTTCCACTAGTAAATGCTGTAAATTGCCCTTTTTGGAGAATCCTACGTAGGACACATGCCGTTTTGCCCAAGAATTGTAATAATTCTGTATAGATAGGCGTTTCGTCTAGAAAAAGAGAACCATAAAACATCAGTGAAATCTTACAAGGCTTCTTGAAGTTGGGTGAGAACTCTCAAAGATAAATTGTACGTTGAGGAGGAAAAAAATGCATTCCCCCCCTCAGTTTTCTTGAGGAGAATAAGAGACTGTTAAGTGTACCTTCTTAGCATCCGATATCTGGAGGGCCACACGTTTCCCATGCCTGCTCGGCCTGGCTCATAACAGGCCAATAGCGTGTTAAGTTGATGGTCACCTGGGGTTCCCCCACCAATCCCCTTCCTCTTTTCTCTTTGCAGGGCGACCATCGATGAAGTGGAAACAGATGTCGTGGAAATCGAGGCCAAGCTCGACAAGGTGAGCCGAAAAAGCCCAAGCTCTTCCTGATGCAAGTGTTCCGCCTGCTCAACCAAGGCTGAAAAGCAGTCCCAGATCATTGCTTGGAAATAAAGCATTAAAATAAAAGACCGTTACTTGATATACTTGAGTATTTTTAGGAGGTTGAAGAAAAACATAGCCAGTTTTTCAGTCCTCCTCCTAAAGTTTACCAGTTACTGTATTACTGAAATGTCATTTTGGGGGGAACCTGGTAAATTAATTTTTCTTTTGGCCATTTTGATGTTAAAAAGTTACTTTTTGGGTTACAGATCTCTGAGTGGGAAATTATTACTGTAACCCAACGAAAGTAACTCTTCCGACCGTCGTTTCTTTATTCTAATGTCAGGCCTCCTTCGTTTGCTCCCAAATAAATGATGATGGGATTGACCCCCCCCCCCAAGCAGAAATATGAAAAGTTTTTTATTTGGATTGCAAAATTCTTGAGAGCTTCGGAAAGCTGTGCTCTAGAGAAAGTGACTTCCTCAGGCATTTGCTTCTTTGTTCCAGAACCAGTCCTCACTTCGCTTACACCCAAGGAAGTAGTTATGGGATAAAAGCCACAATAGAGATGAAAAAAGTTACTTTTTTAAAAGACAACAGAGGGTGAGGATGGCTGCCAATTTCTGGGGATTGTGATCCGAAAAATTAATATTTCTCATATCTGAGTCTTAGGCCACAGTCTGACATGTTTTTAGTACCCTGGAAGTTCTGTTGAGCATCGGCGCAATTGCTCCCGAGTAAACCTGCTACACGCTCGGGTTTCAGATTCTTCCTGATGTTGCCTCCCCAGCTGGCCTCAGCGTGCTTGCTTGTCTCCTGGGTGGTTTCTCTCCAAACTGCGATGTTTCTAATAAGGGCTCCCTCCGAATTGCAAGAGCCGAGTCATAATAAAGCACAGCTCCTTTTTTGCAATCCAGAAAGGCGAAACTGCCACGTTGCAGGCCACGCTTTTCCTTTCCAGAGCCTCACGTTGGCTCCGAGCTTCACGAGTGTCCATCTGGATGCCAGATGTGGCTGGGAAACCACATCTGGCTGCGTTTGTGTGTGTGCATGTGAGTGTGTGTGCATTCCCCTGGACTCGGCTGCAACAATGGCAAAGACAGTTGGATGGGAAAAGAAGGTCGTGCACAATGAAGAAGGCAGCAAATCCGTTTTGGCAGCCTCCGATTCGAACCGTGAAATGGCAGGGCAGCCGACACACCTTTGGGGAATTTTAAAGATTTACAGGGTTTGGATTCAGAGTCCAGAACCGTTTGCAGGAAAGTTTGGGAAAGGCTGTTGAACTACCAGCACATTAGTCACCCTGGGGTAGACGAGGGTGGGAAAGGGAGTGCGCGCAAGCAGAGGAAACAGTCCAGATATTGCTCTGTGCTCACTCTGCCACTGCCTTACTCTTTGACCTTGGTCATGTCTCTTTGCAGATGATGGGATTTTTCAAAGTTCCTTTCCAAGCAGTGAGTTACCGCTACGGTTTTCTAGTCCGAGGAAGACTTTCCCTCCTCAAACGACACATACCTCCCAGGGAGGTTCCGATCCTGCCCACTCCTGCTCCCAGGAATACAATCTCACTCATTAAGAATTAATAGTAATCATGGGTTGTCAAGTCAATTCCGACTTAACAGCAACCGTTTTCAGGGTTTTCCCAGCTACAGGAAAGGTAGTGGTCTGATCCGTGAATAGAAACCAAATTCTGCATTGGGTGATCTTTTAAGAAATCTGTAGACACGGCGAGCTTTTCATGTTCTCTGGGAGTCTTCTGCAGGCTGCATCACATACTGCTGCCAACTCAATTCTGACTTAGTTGTGTCACCCTTTCCCCCAGGATTTGCCTGGAGAGTATTCAGAAGAGTGTTACCCTTTCCTTCCTTCAGAGGGCGCCCTGGGACTGCACCACTGGCCCAAGGTTACCCAGGCTGGCTTTTCTTTCAGAAGGGGAATTTAAACTCCCAACCTCTGGTTCTGCAGAAAGAGACCTAATCCAGAGACCTATCCAGCCAGCTCGGTTAAAAAAATACTGATGCAAATAAAGAACAAACATTTTCAGAGATGCACCGAACAGCCTGACCGCTCTGGGTTTTGGGCAGTGCTTTAAAAGAGCAATTCAAGGTTCTGATCCTCTTTGGGGAGAAGGTTCAATGCCTCGGAGTCCATTTTATCTGACGCTCCTTTTTTTTTCCTTCTGCTTCTCAGCTGGTGAAGCTATGCAGTAATATGATCGATGCCGGCAAAGCCTACATCATCACCAACAAGCAGTTTGTCGGCGGGGTGCGGGATCTTTCCCAACAGTGCAAGAAGGATGAGATGATCTCGGTAAGGGGTCCGGGTGCGGGATGCCGAGATGTTGATTGCGGGTGCCTGTGTGTTCATCCTTGAGCCACTGTGTGATGGCCCTATGGATCTGCTTCTGTATGTTGGTGGCAAGAAACGCTGGCAGATCTTATCCTCTGCGTGGCAAACTGCACACTACAGCTAAGCCCGTGATCGGAAGAGGGAGTCCCTTAAGTGTCATATGATCTGATTGTCACAGCACAAGCTATTCTGACTCCTGTAGTTAGCAAACGAGCTCCCTTGTTTTTGTGATTGGTCTTCGGGGCATAAGCAGGGGGAAGCATGGCTGGCCGGTCATGCAGCCTTGAATCCCGTCTGTGAACCAAGCTGTGTCTCAGCACAGCACAATCACCCCATCTCTGCTGCAAAATGTTTTGCATCGTCTTCGAACTTCCAAGCTGGGAGGGACCCTCTGGATCATTGAGTGCAGACCCCATGCCTTGTTTTTGTGATTGGTCTTCGGGGCATAAGCAGGGGGAAGCATGGCTGGCCGGTCATGCAGCCTTGAATCCCGTCTGTGAACCAAGCTGTGTCTCAGCACAGCACAATCACCCCATCTCTGCTGCAAAATGTTTTGCATCGTCTTCGAACTTCCAAGCTGGAAGGGACCCTCTGGATCATTGAGTGCAGCCCCCATGAGGGAGGCCCGGGGGGGGGGAATCAAACTCCCAACCTCTGGCTCCACAGCCAGAGACCTCGACCCCTGAGCTATCCAGCTGTGCCACCTTCTCAAGAGTGGAAGGATTTGTGCGTTTCTTATTAGCAACATCTTTAGGAGGGAAAGTTGGTTTAAAAGTCAGAACTGCTGGATAGCACCATGGCGATTCTTCCCCATTGGAACGCATTAAACAGGTTTCAATGCATTCCAGTGGGAAAATGCTTTTTGCTAGGCAATGATTTTGCTAAACAGCGATTTCAGTGGAACGGATTATCATCGTCTAGCGAGGCACCACTGTACTGTACCTTTGTCAGAGGTTTTGAAGCTCGATTGTGTTTTCCACCCAGCAAGGCTGCTGTAGAAATAGATTTTCTGACCTGTCAATAGGGACAGGTTGGGATAGATGACCTCTGGGGACCCATACAGTTGTCTGGTTTTAGAAATCTCCTTTCGAGGCAAGGTTTTGGACAGGGAGGTAGAAAAGCGTCCCTATCTGGAACACACGTGGAATACAGATATCTGGAACAGAGAGAACTTGGGTTTGAAAAACCCAAATAGCATACAAAGCCGCTCTTCTCAAATTAATTAGTCGTATCGGACCGACTTCTGCTTAACGAGAACCTTTGCAAGCCAGTCTGCCAGAGGAACGCTGGAAATGTGGGAAGAAGAAGCACCGAACCAGGCGTGTGTCAAATTATTTTGCCTGCAATCGTATTGTTCTCTGTGTTTTTTTTAAAAAATAATGAATAAATAAAAAATGATTGGCTCCGCTCACTGCGTACGCGACCCACACACTCCACCAAATCCCTCGCGAAGCTAAAAATATCCGAGGAGTTTTCTGCCTCGAGGAAACGGCGTCGTTTTCTGCATAACCAGGAAGCTGAGTGGATGCAGCCGAAGTAGGTCAGCCAGCTGCTGTCTTCTTTTTAAAAAAGAGGCAGGGGAAGCCGTTGAAGGGGGGGGGCGGATGATGGAGCCGTACCATCCCAAAAATGGAGATCAAAGGAGCCGAGGAAGCCCTGGAGCGTTGAGCGCCACTTTCCCAGGACGTCGGAGCATCTTGTGGGCTCTCGTCTCTCGCGCCGGCGCTCCATGTGAATTATCATCTTAGAACTGCAGAGCTGGAAGGGACCCCAGAGATCATCCAGCCCAGCCCCTGTCGAGGAGGCTCAGTGGGGGAATTGAACTCCCAACCTCTGGCTTTGCAGACAGAGACCGAAATCATGGAGCTCTCCCAGCAGTTCGGAGGAATCGGATGCAATCGCACACATGCTGGGCGCCGACAATGTGGTGCAGTGAAAATATTAGAAACTGAGCCAAATGGCTTTACACCGACTCAGATTCTTGGTCCATCTGGGCCAGTATTGTTCGCACTGATGGGTAGAAGTTCTAGAGGGATCTCGGCTAGATTTCCCCACCCCTACCTGGATATGCTGGATATTCCTTCTTTCCTCCCTCCCTCCCTCTTTCTCTCTTCTTTTTACTTCCTGCAGTTCAAATCCTATGCAGGAATTGTCAATCCTGCTTAGGAGTCACCTAGTCCTGTATAGGATTTCCCCAATCCTGTGCAGGATTCCTCCTGTGTTCCTCCACATTATAGACATTTTTCCCCAGTTTCTGCACACTTTTCTTTATGAGTTAATCCAGCTCATATTTGGTCTTCCTCTTTTCTTGCTACTTCTACTTTCCCCAGCCTTATTGTCTTCTCCAGTGGTCTGACTGCTGTTCTAAGGGAAATTCCCAGTCTCTGGCTCCCACTTGGAATAGGAGAACTTCCTTGGTTCAATTGTTGTTCCTTCCTGGATGCTCTTCTGTGCTCACCACTGTACCTCACTTCCTTCTGCAGGAATGCCTGGACAAGTTTGGAGACAGCCTGCAAGAGATGGTCAACTATCATATGGTAAGTCACAACTCCTAGATGGCTAGACTTGTGTTTGTTGACATGACCACAGGAGGACAATCCTATGTTTCTCCTTCGGACGCAGGCTCTCCTTTTTCTAACTAGGCACACCCTGATTTCAAAATCAGCTGTGTGACCAATCGCACAACTGCCTGTTTGTGTGACCAGTCATACAGTTGATCATGTGAAGGAGGATGCTATGGATAAAAATGCAAATAACTGCTCCAGCAGTGAAGGGAATTACTCAGCTATGAATAAATTGCAGTAGCATGACCAGCTCTTAAGAACACAAGAACTAAACTTCTGATTTTGGAAATGAGCAGAAAGGGATGTCATGCAAAGGGGTTCAGAATCTGCATAAAATTCAGCTGACCCGTTCATATGACCATCTCAAGTCACCTAATGTTCGGCATGAGCCTCTGACTTATTTGTGACCCTATGAAGGAACCACCTCCAAAACATCCTGTCCTGACCAGCCCTGCTCACCTCTTGCAAACCCAAGGTTGTGGCTTCCTTTAGGAAGACAATCCATCTCACATTGGGGGTTTTCCTCTTTGCCTGCTGCCTCCAACTTTCCCCACAACGGGTAAAAGCCACCAATGTTCTCTGGAAAGTAACAGAGACGAGTGGCCAGGTTTCAGAGCCACGTCGCTCTCAGACAAACTGAAGCTTTTCAGCCTCCCCCCCTCCTCCTGCGTACTCTGCCTTGAGATTTATCTTCCCGGGGTGGGGAGATGTGTAATCATTCCTGGAGACTTCTACTTGGAGACTTGACAGACCTAGCCAGGTTTGAGGAAGCCCCGGGGGCAGAGATTTCTTCACAGCAGAAAGGGGGAGGGCGAGAAAGTACACGGCCTCAAATAAATCACATCTATGAAGGGTTCTGATGCAGTCAATATGCTGGGCGGTGGAGGGCGGGGTGCTCAGTCACCGTTCCCTCGGAAGCTGCTGAGTTAGCTCTGCAGCAGGCAAGAAATTTTCTTGGAAGTCAAACAACCAGACAGAGGGGAGGGAATGTCTTCAAGCGGTTTTGCGTCTCAG